GCTTGGAAATATTCACCATGGTGTGCTAACAGAAGTAGACAAATAAGTAATTGATTTAGGAGACCACATCTTAGAAAGATAGGAAGTTACAGATGAGATGTGTCAGTTATTAATTTGTTGCTTTTCAGATCCAAATCCACCCTTCTTCTGCCTGCTTTGAGATACTGTATAGATACTCTATATTGCTAGTAATTCATTTAAGAGAGGGTTCTGGAGGAACACGGTCAGAGAGTAGAGCTTTTCTTCCTGGTTCTAGATTGCTGAATCTTTCTCCTATTGTGTGTTATGAGGATACCTTACCAAATTCTCTTTAATAAATTTTTTCTAGCATCTGAATAAAAAGTTTCCTACAGAAAAGCTCTGGCCCACCAGGACCCCAGCAAACTTTTGTTTAACCCATGGGCTGTGTTGCTTCCATACTCTCTCCAACAAGATCTGAATCTCATCTTTATCTGTCAGGTACCTGTTTCAAGTTAATCTTAGTTTCCTCTTTGTATATTTTCCTTAACTGTGGAGGTACACCTGCTTCCTATATTTCTTATTCCTATATTCCAGAGTGCCCCTTTCATTCTTTTTTAGTAAATAATCTTTCAGTAATGAATAATTCTTTATATTAACATTTCTATGCTTAAATTACTGGTTTTTTCTTGTAGTCCTGCACAGTAGATCCTGACTGTGACTCATGTTCTTAGTAATTTGTAGATAATAATGGCCATTGTTTAATATAGAATGACGTTTTTATATAGCTCTTCTTTTCTCAACTGACTAATTAGTATATTTTTATATGAGTCTTTCTCTCAACCAAAGAAAATTCTAATGTAAGTCATTAGTGTTAAGTAAACTTCAGCTTTTGTTTTGTAAAAATGTCCTTGAATTTTTAAAATCTTATCCAAATAAGTCTAAAAGTCTTAAAATAAATTCTTGCCATATAAGAGGCTAATGAGTTATATTATGTGGAATATTTCATGAGCAAGAGTAGCTTTGTCTCATATTTGAAGCTAAAAACTTAGTTAAGCTCAGCTTACCTTTCTTGAAATTAATCTTTCTTTTCATAAATTTATAAGCAGACAGTAAATTTCTGTTAAATAATTGACATAGGCCAAAATAGGATTTAATTTTTCTAAAGATAGGCTCTGGCTGATTTAATTTATGTAAAAGCCCGAACACTTATTTTAATTAATGTTTTCCACAAAATAATTTTATTAACACTGAATATTTAAAACCATAGACAAGGGCATGGTTCAAGTGGTGGTAGAGTGGTTACCTAGCAAGCATGAGGCCCTGAGTTCAAAATATAGTTTGAGCCCCCCAAAAAATCCATAAACAAAACCAATATGAATATAAATGTAGTTCATATTTCATAAATTTTATATAAGACTAGAAACATTTTCTTACTGAGTGAAAGATCAGACTCAAATAGCAGTTACAAAGTTAAAACATGTATTGGTTTCTTGCATGAAATATTATTTTTGAAACTGAAATTGAAAGTTTACTTCTTTTTTTTCTATTTTTGGAGACAGGGTCTTGCTATGTAGCCCAGGCTGGCTTCCAGCTCTAGATCCTCCTGCCTTAACTTCCCAAGTGCTGGGATTGCAGGCATACACCACCACACTCAGCTAAATTTACTTTTTAAATATGAAACCTACACTTGTATTTTTGCTGGACAGATATTTAATTCTGAATTGAACTTAAGATAATCACAAATGAAATCAGACCTATTCTGTTTTTATTTCTTGCTTTTTTTAATATTAGGAATTGAAGCTAGGGCTTGCCCAACCACTCAACCACTTGAGCCATGTCTCCAGCCTTAACTTTGCCTGGGCAGGCCTCAAAATTTGCATGTTTGTAATTTTTCAATTCTCTCGCCTCCACTTCCCAAGCAGCTGGGTTTAAAGACATGGCCCACACCCAGTTTACTCTTTGCTTATTACATGAGAAAAAAATTCTTACCCTGTAAGTAGTTGAAAAATCACCCTAAGATGTTTATTGATTTTCTATGAATGGCACAAAATATTTTTTGTGATGGTACTGGGGTTTGAACTCAGGGCTACCTGCTTGGTAGGCAGGTGCTCTACCACTTGAGGCATGCCCCCAGTCCACAGTACTCTTAACTTACCAAAATCCTGGACTTATTTGGGGGCAAATCAGTAAACCAGGATGGGACTGTATGGGAAATAATTTTTTTAATTAGAATATGTATCTTTAAGTTTTGCTCTGACTAAAATGTACATCATAGTAGGCACTGTTTTGAAAAGGAATCATCTAATCTTCTCCTTTGAGGGGATTTACACAGTGAAGAGAGTAATTCAGGCAAGCAAGTACATAACAATAACCATTTTAGTGTGTGGGGGGGTCTCTTTTGTACCAAGTGCTCTATGAATGCTATTCAATTTAATCATCATAAGTCCTTCTTCATAAATAGGTGCCATGATTCCCTTTTATAGACCAGGCAAGCAGAGACTCAGAGTAGTTCACTACTATGTACAAAGTCACATCAACTTGTTGAAAAAAAAAAAACCAAGTATACCCAAATACCTATGTTCTGTCTCTCAAATGTTCCAGGTCATGCCACTGTCCCTCAGATAAGTAGTAAGACTTGCTTTGGCACATGATAGGAGGATATGCCCACCCTGACAGCAGAGAGAAGAGCTCAATGAGAATAAGTGTCAGGTTCTCTCGACCAGTCAGGGGCATAGGCTATTTTAGATGCATTCCTATATTGATTGATGTAATCACTTGAAATCCATTAATGTAGAAAATAATTAAGACATCTCACTTTAAGTAAATGGAATGAAAAAAATCTATTAAGCTAACACCGTTGGCAAAAATAAAAACTGAGTTTACTAGAAATATCAAACATTAAGAATGTTCAGGACTTTTTAAATACCAGTGCTTTCTTCTAGAATACATGGAATTAATCAATGTAATTTTGAGAGTTTCTTTGATTCCAAGAACTATTTCTGAACAAGAGACCACCCCCATCATTTCCACAGGCCTGGATGATTTTCCCAGCTTGTTTTTATTCTTTGTATCTAGTCTACTATTTCATTCACTGAGTTATCTGTTGCCTACTTACACCCCCTACTGCCCTCAATCATTATGTTCTGTTGAATGCTTTTGTTCTAGTTTCTACACCATTAGCACTCCTAGAGTCCTTGACTTCCTACTATCATTGATATTAAGCTGGCAAGAACCATGGGGATAATCTATCTAAATCATTCGTTTTGAAGATGAGGATACAGAAGCTCAAGAAAGACTTGCCAAGGTCAGTTAGAGGCAGAACCAAGACCACAATTTATTTCTCCCATGGCTCTGATCACCAGTGGAATAGTAAACTAAATGTCATCCCTTCGTATTCATGAGGCATTGGTTCCAGGACCCCCACATAAACCAAAATCTACAGATGCTTAAGTCCCTATATATGATGGTATAGTATTTGTGTACAATCTATATACATTCTCCCATATAGTTTATATATCTCATAACACTTATTACAGTATAAACACTATGTAAATAGTTTGTTACACTGCACTTTTAAAGAGAATAATGACAATTTTAAAAGTCAGTACATTTTCTGTATAGATGCAACAGCTTTTAACATTATGCATCAATGGCTGGTTGAATTCATGGAGGCAGAACCATGGGTATGGAGGGCTGACTGCTATTAGTTTGTGTATTAAATAATCACTGAGTAATCCAGACAGAAAGCAAAGACATAATTGGAAATGTAAAAGATAAAAATAAAAATAAAGCCTCTAAAAATCACTCATAAGTAATTACAAATCATAATTCTTCCACTTAATGTGAGACCTGAATAAAGCCATCAAATTCCCTGCTTCTTTTTCTGTAAAATGGAGATGATAGAGGTACTGCAGGATTTTGAAGAGTAGAGCTGATAAAATCTATACAATGTTGTATAGCATCTGAGCCAGAAACTGCATGATATTCAAATAGTGGTACCATGCCAACTGAGGGGTAAATAAGAAAGTAACAAGTATTGGGAGCCTTGTGCACTCTTACTGGGAAGGTAAAATATGTTTTATGTTGCTATAAAAACAATGTGTAGCTCCTCAAAAAGTTGAAAATAGAATTATCATATAGTTCAGCAATTTTACTTCTGGTTATAAACCCAAAAGAATTTACAGCAGGGTCTCAAGGCAATGTTTGTACACCCATATTAACAGCAGCATTATTCACAATAATCAAACGGTAGAAGCAGAAAAGTACACACAAGAAAATATCTGCACTAGATCCTAAAGACTAGAGAAGACCGCTTTCTTAATGTACAGTGTCCTTTGTCGTAAGATTTGGTGCCATATGTGCTAAAAATAAAACAAAACAAAAATGGTAGAAGCAACCCAAGTGTCCATTGACAGATAAGCGGATAAACAAAATGTAGAATATACATAAAATGGAACGTAATAAGAAAGGGAATTCTGACCTGTGCTACAACATGAGTGAAGACACTAAGTGAAATAAGTCAGTTAAACACACATACACACAAAAATACTGGATGATACCACTTTAGCTTTACGTTTGTTTTCCACGCAGGAAAAAGGAAGTGACAGGGAGAAAAACACAGTTCTAACCATGAGTCAAGCAAAGCTTTCCAACAATCCCTGGCTGGTATATGTGTCATTGACTAGACTTGTGCTCATGGCCACTCCTAGCTATAAGGGAAACTAGGTGTTTCTTTTGTGCACATCATTGTACTAAACAAAATCGGGATTAAATAGAAAGGAAGTTATTGATGATGGCTGTCGGGGGTCGTAGGTGAAAGTGGTTAGCATTAGGCCTGCAATAGGGCGCAATCAGTAATTAACATCGCTCAGTCCTTTCCTCCAAACCTCATTGGTCTAATTAACTCGAGGCCCCGCCTCTGCTAGGCCCGCCTCCTTCAGCTCGTCGGATTGGCTCTTCCTCCATTTCCGGCTTCTGCGACGCGGCTGCAGGGTAGTTTCCGGTGTCATGGCGGCCTGAGGTCCGGGAGTCGGTGCGGCGGGCCCCTCCCTGCGGAGCCGCTGGTCCGGCGGGCGGGGATGTGACGGCGGGCCTTGCGGCCTGCCTCGGGCGTCGGTCGCGTCAGCTCCCGCGTCAGTGCCCTCAGCCTTCACCGATGGCGGGATCCGGCTGTGCGTGGGGCGCCGAGCCGCCGCGGTTTCTGGAGGCCTTCGGGCGGCTGTGGCAGGTACAGAGCCGCCTGGGCAGCGGCTCCTCGGCTTCGGTGTACCGGGTGCGCTGCTGCGGCACCCCGGCTCGCCCCCCGGCGCCCTCAAGCAGTTCTTGCCTCAAGGAACCACCGGGGCTGCGGCCTCGGCCGCGGAGTACGGGTTCCGCAAAGAGAGGGCGGCTCTGGAGCAGTTGCAGGGTCACAGGAACATCGGTAACTGTCACCGCTTCCCTCCACTCTTCTTACCCAGGTTCCAGTCGTAGCAAGCCCTCCCTCGGCCTGGCGTCCAGCCTGTCGTCCTTTAGGCGGAGAGGCAGTCCCTTTTCCCATCCCCCTTCCACTTTATTATGTCTGCGGTACCGTGGAGCTGGTGGTGTGTGGTGCCAGTGTCACATAGTGGGTGCTTAGTAAGCCTGTTTGCTTGGGGTGTCATCGGAGAATACTGCACTTATTAGCATAGGAAATATCTTCTCTAGTGAACGGAGGCATGCCTTGGCTAGATTGTCATGTTTTGAGTGGAAATCTGTGTATCTTTGCCTGCAATGGAAAATGGAAAATATTCTAGGGCTATGACATCAGTACTAGTAACTCATATAGATATTAACTGATGACATATTTAGTATGTGTTTGGAAGAAATGACTATTATATAGGGCTCTTTGTGGAAGTGTAAAATTTAGGAGCCCTGTTTTTGCTTTAGTAAGCCAGTTTCATGAGTCAGATATTCAGTATGAAAGACATATATTGATCACTGATGATTGATCTATGCAAACAGCCTTTGTTGTCATTACAGTATCAGAGAGCTTATAAGTAGTTATAAATTTGGTTAATAAAGTGTAATCCATACAATACCATGTTGGAGAAGAATTGCCTAACGCAAGCATTGCAGTTTTTTTTTAAAGCTTGCAAGTGGTATGCCATTATAATCTTGGTATTGAAGAGGGAAAATTTTTGTAGGCCTTAGGACTTGTTGAGTGTTTTCAAGATCAGGTTAAAATGCCATATGGAAACTCTTAATTTCTTCTTCTAATATTTTGAGTATAGAGTGCTATTTTGGATCAAGAAGCAATCTTGAATTTGTTTTTAAGAGAGTTACTTATATTAGGACTTTTAATAATTTTTGTTTGGTTTCCAAAGTGCATATTCATTCGATGCTGAGTGCTTGGTGTGAAACACAATTTGAATCATTATGCCATATTTAATACCTTTGAATGGCAGTCAGCTATTGAAGACTGTCTCATTTTGTTAAAATAACTAAGTTGTGCAAGGATCTTATTCATGGGAAAAATAGTGGACTTTTGCTTGCTTCTCAAAATTACCCTTATTGAGACTATCCCAAATTTGTAGAGCTATCTACTGTAGTAGTAATTTACTCTTAAATTTGAATTTAAAGCATTATAATTCGTTTCTTTTTCTAGTGACTTTATATGGAGTCTTTACAATCCACTTCTCTCCAAATGTGCCATCACGCTGTCTGTTGCTTGAACTACTGGATGTCAGTGTTTCGGAATTGCTTTTATATTCCACTCATCAGGGTTGTTCCATGTGGATGATACAGCATTGTGCCAGAGATGTTCTGGAGGCCCTGGCTTTTCTTCATCAGGAAGGTTATGTCCATGCAGACCTCAAACCACGAAACATTTTATGGAGTGCAGAGAATGAATGTTTTAAACTTATTGACTTTGGACTTAGTTTCAAAGAAGGCAATCAGGTAAAAATACCTTTTCTTTCCTATTACAATTTAAATTCTAGTGGTCTAAGCCAAATATAACAAGGATAGTTTAATGGGGACTGGAGAGGCTTACTGAAATGCCTGTGAATGAAGCAAATCAAAAGAATTTCACTGCCACTGTGTCAACAAAAGACAAATGTTTGAGTCAGACAGGAGGAGCTAGTGAGGCACAAGAAAGCTCTGGAATTAATAGAAGTGCTTGGCCCACATAAATTTTTAAAAATTTTTTATTGTACTGGGGGTACATTGTGACATTTACAAGTGCTTACAATATATCTTAGTCAAATTTGCCCCCTCCATCCTTCATAAATTTTTTTTTTAATTCAACAACATTTGGCTAATTACTGAGTTATTCTTGGTATCTTCAGTGTTGGGGTTCTATTTCAGGGCAAATCCTCCATTCTTCATGGTTTTTTAGCACTTTGTAGTGTCCTTATTTATCAGCAGTGAATAAGTAAGAAGGTACCTAAAGAAGAATGCTTTATGAGCAGCCATATGGAAAGTGTATAGCTTGTTGTGAGAACTACACAGTTAATGAACCAAAGAATTATGGTAGCCAAGGACTAAAAATTTTTTTTAAGGACTAACAATTTTTGGCATTTATTTTTCAGTGATTTACAGCACTCTTAGAGAAGTAAATACATTGTAGAGATAGAAAGTAGATAGCTTTTTATTGGTTGTAATATTTTTCTCATCTTCTTTAGGATGTAAAGTATATTCAGACAGACGGGTATCGGGCTCCAGAAGCAGAACTGCAAAATTGCTTGGCCCAAGCTGGCCTGCAGAGTGATACAGAATGTACCTCAGCTGTTGATCTGTGGAGCCTAGGGATCATTTTACTGGAAATGTTCTCAGGAATGAAACTGAAACATACAGTCAGATCTCAGGAATGGAAGGTAAACTGCACTAGTGTTTTGCTTTGTGGTCCTTAATCAGTTTAAGAGTATTTAATTTATGATGATTTTTGTCAGAGAATGCAATTGCATCCTCTCCTCCATACTTCCCTTTCTGTACCTATGGTACCTTAAATGACATTACTCACTCCCAAGGCTACAGATAAGTTAATGACATTGCATTTTCAGTTTCTAGCCTGGGTCCTGGCATATGGTAAATATTTGATAATATTTATGTAGTAAATATTTGAATACAGTTTTCCCAAAACAAAAGTAATTTCCTTTGTTTAGTAATTTAGTTATATTAGATTCTGTATTAACAGAACCAAATGATAATCTTTATATCATGCTTTACAGTTAATAAAAGTATTTTTATCCCAGTCTCATTAAATCTGTCAACAGTTCTATGAAGATAAGTGGATATTGGTTGCTTTTTTATGTAAATGAAAAACTGGAGGCACAGATGTGTAAAATATCTTGCTCCAGATCATATAGCTAGGCATCCCGACTTGGAGTCCAAATTCTGTTCCTCCTACTCAAAGATTAGAATGTTTCCACAGTACTTGATGTTTATTTATATTCTGTAGCCGTTTTAGATATGACAGAACTAGCTTGTTACTTGATTATAGTATAGTGACCACTGCTAATATCATTGTTCTGTGGGAACATGTGTTCTGAGTTCCAGACCTCTGATGTTTGAACTTTTTGTATGCTTATAAATTAGGACTTAGCTCCAGTATCTTTTCAAATGTATTGTGGGGTTTTAATGTGATGATGTCAGTATCCTTTAGGCTTGAAGTTTGATAAATAATGCAGTACTTTAGAATTATTGACTCTTATTAAACAATAAGTAGTTGATGTGAAATATGTTAATATTAAGCAACTTTTTATTTAACATCTAATATATAGTCTATGGATATTATAGCAAGTGGAGTATTATTTCTGTTAAACCCCCAATCACTGATTTCTGGTGTGGTAATTCCTGGTATACTTAATGTTTATTATTGGCCAAAACATGCTATCATGGGAGTAAAATCAGTATCTTTTTTTTTTTTTTGGGCGATGGGGGGGTAACTAGGGATTGAACTCAGGGCCTCTTGCTTGCTAGGCAAGTGCTATACCAGTTGATACAATGCCCCCAGGCCCTTTTGCATTTAGTTCAGATAGGGTCTCATGCTTTTCCCAGGGCCAACCTCTATCTCTGCCTCCCAAGTAGATGGGATTACAGGCATGTGCTACCATGCTTAGCTCATTTTTTTATCCTTGGTATTCCCTCAGCAGTCAAGAGGCTAAGTATTCTTTCTCTAATACTAATCTAAATATGGATCAATCACTTGAATTAGCTTTGACAGTCTTTGAATTCTTCAGACTGTATCTGCTTGGCCCACAGCTCATCAGGAGTAGGTCACATCTACATTTGTGTGAAATTTAGAGACATGACATGTACTAATGGAATCCTGAACAAATGCCTCTCTAGGTAAAACATCATCATTCTGTTTTATCACTTTCTGTAGAGGCAAAATTGCTAAGTGTGTGTGAGCATAGGCTTTGACTTCAAGGCATTAGTGTCTTACTTTCACTCCTACTAAGTTATTTATTTAGATTCGTTAAACTACGGTTACTTTCTTTAGAATGAGGGTAATAATAACATATATCTCATAGGAGTATCAAGTTTAAGAAAGGAACAGTACTGAGTTTTTAGCATACTCTGTGCCCCATGATAAGTATTCAGTAAATTTTAGTGATAATAATGGCAGTAGGTATTTTACTTACGTGCACAGTTCTACATTCTGAATTAGCATAGTATTCAAGGAGAAAATGTTATATTCCATAGACATTTAGAATCTGAATAATATGGCAAATGCAATGTTTTAATACTGTTTATTTTCTCAATGATAGTTTATTTCTGTCTGAAAAAACCAGTTGAAACTCATCCTAGGCACCCCGACTCACCTATTACACATTTATTTTCTCACTTTGCATTACACTGCATCTTCATGCGCTTACTTTGGTTTTATTCACTCATTTGGTAGATGTTCTGAGAGCGCTCTTTGTTAGGTGCTGAGCATGGAGAAAAAATGTTCCTCATCTCTACAAGCTTATGATTAAGATCATAAAGTCTCAGGAGAGAGTGTTTTCTTTTGTGTGTTACTCAACGGTGCTGCATGGCTAGGACTCAAAAATGCAAACTGGATTGAATAACCTAAGGAAGAGTTTTCTCCCTTTTTTTAGGCAAACAGTTCTGCTATTATTGATCATATATTTGCCAGTAAAGCAGTGGTGAATGCCGCGATTCCAGCCTATCACCTAAGAGACCTTATCAAAAGGTATATTATGTGTACTATAACTTGTTTTGAATACCTGTGCTATCTGAAGGTTCTCCCTGGAATATTGTTTATTTGCTTGTTCATTGTTTCAGATTTGCTTGTTCATGTAGATGTTTTATTTCCAAGAAATAGGAGTTTTAACTTTAGATATTCTATATAAGTTAACTTCCTATGAGAAACATAGGTATCTAGTAGTTTTACAAAATTGTTTTTCAAAGAATTTTCTTTTGTCTGTGATAGGTATGTAAACAACTTGTCACTCACAAAAGAGATATGCTGGGTACTTTTGCCTGTCATAGTCTCTGGCAGGTGGGGGTTTTGTTTGTTGTTGTTGTGTTTTTTGAGACTGCGTTCTTGGTCAGGTAGCCCCAGGCTGGCCCCCCTCAATTTGTGATCCTTCTGTCCTCAGCCTTCTTACAGGTGTGTGTCAGCACACTCTGTATGGCAGTTTTATTAATAAATAAAGAAAATACGAGTAAGCTACATTTTGAATAGAAATTGGTTTTTAATTATGTTTTAAATGATGTACTACTGAAAACTCTGGAATAGATAGTATTAATTCTGAATACTTCAGATAGATCCCCCAAACAATAGAATTTTAAAAATAAAAAATATTGTATTACTAAATAGTAGGGTTTTCAAGGTTGCTAGGCATTACAGGCCTATGAAATGAATAAAATAGAATGCTAGGAAAAGGGTAAATCATTGGATTGAGTAAGGATATTTGTAGTTTATTTGGGACTATTGCTCCTAATAAACATTCAAAACTAGGCCTGGTTTTTTTTTTACTTATTTATTTTTAAATAAAGATTTACAGGAAGTTGTAAACTGTTACAGAGAATCCAAACTTTATCCAGTGGTAAGTCTTCTGTTACTGTAGCACAGAATCAAACCAGTAATTGGTGTGGTACAGATCCACAGCACATTCAGATCTTACCAATTTTGCACATGGCTTATTTAGTAAATTATGTTTTTCAAATTTGGTTTTTAATATGCTGCTCATAGCTAATTGATACTGGAGTATTTAAGAATATTGTACTTTCTGAAGGTAGATGGCAGTATAAACTGAATATAATGAATTTTAAACCCAGAGTCCATGTTAAGTTCTGTTTTGTTGGTTGGATTTTTGTTTTATTTTGTTTTTGTGTGTTGGTGTTTTTAATAACACTCCTCACCATGCCCCTAAGTAATAAAAATAACACTAAGATTTGTAAAGTACAGAAAAGTTGTGGTGAGGCAAAAAAAAATACAAAAAACCAGCCTTTTAGTTTCATGCATTTTGATTTTATTTCCTTATAATACTTTTTTCTGCATATTTGTGTATAAAGCATTTACAAATTGCTTGAATCTTCTTTATGGTAGTGTTCAAACATTGATAAGTGATACAAAACAAATTGTGTAGTCGTAATGAATTCTTTTAAGAAACATGGTGTAAGTACTATTGAAGTTGAGAAGAATAAAACTTTGCCAGTTTAACCCAGGTTCATTGTCTGTCTTTCCCTCCTAAAGTATCTACTGATGCTTGACTTGTGGGTGGTAAATCACAGTGTTTCATTATATGGTTTCATTACCTCAAGTAGCATTCTTAGTTTATGTTTTACTTTTCTTTTCTTAAAGAAATCTCTTTTTAAGTATCTTACTGCTAAAGAATTCCTATCTAAAGTATTCCTGTTTCATCTCCTCCTTTTTCCCGTTGCAACGTTTAATACTCTGTACAAGCTGGGCTGTTTGGCTTAGTACAGTTTTTTACAGGCTAAAAGTTTGGGTTGTATCACTGTAATTTCACCTATTTACTGTTTTAGTTTCCAATTAAACGAATAGTTATACCTAAAAGTTGACCTATTTTTTTGATGATGGTTTGCAAGTTATAGATGGCATTTATTTTCTTTCATAAAAGACGCACATAATGTATTAATTGTATTTTATGAGTTTTAGCAGCTGTTGCTTCTTAATTGCATTATTTCATTAGGGGGTCCATTACTTCATTAGGGGTTTATAGAATAGTGGGATAGCCTACCTCTATCATTTGTTCTTCAGTTTGATTATGCCAAGAGACAAAGTAAATACTTGCTGCACCTAGTGAAGCACGTGTTTTTTGGAGATAGAGTTTGTGTTCTTGTCATCTTCCGATCATTATCGTTTTTCATAAAGATCGTAAACAATGGATTCAGGTATATTTTGGTGTTTTGAATCCATTACAAGTTTTTATCCCTATTAGAAGGTGAAATCAATCCTATCTTTTTGATGAATGTGAAACTTTCTACATGGATCTTTGAACAGGCTGTTAGTTTTTGTCTTTGCTATGTGGCATACACATTTTTCCTCCATACCTGGAATTAATCTTTTTCAAACAAGCTTGGTTTCTTTTAGTAGAAATAATATTTTAAAACTACTCTCTGTGGTATTAAAGAATCTTAATTGCTTGTTTGATTTATGAACCACTGTTTCTAGCCTTTTTTAAATTGTTTATTATTCAATGTGCATACAAGGCTTGGTTCATTTCTCCCCTGCTGCCCCCACCCCTCCCTTACTCCCACTCCACCCCTCCTCTCCCCCTACCCCTCAATACCTACAGCAGAAACTATTTTGCCCCTTATCTCTAATTTTTGTAGAGAGGAGTTAAAGCATAATAGGAAGAAACAAGGGTTTTGCTGGTTTGAGATAAGGATAGCTATACAGGAGTTGACACACATTAATTTTCCTGTGCGTGTGTTACCTTCTATGGTTAATTCTTTTTGATCTAACCTTTTCTCTAGTTCCTGGTCCCCTTTTCCTATTGGCCTCAGTTGCTTTTAAGGTATCTGCTTTAGTTTCTCTGCTTAAGGGCAACAAATGCTAGCTAATTTTTTAGGTGTCTACCTATCCTCACCCCTCCCTTGTGTGCTTCGCTTTTATCATGTGCTCATAGTCCAATCCCTTGTTGTGTTGCCCTTGATCTAATGTCCACATATGAGGGAGAACATACGATTTTTGGTCTTTTGGGCCAGGCTAACCTCACTCAGAATGATGTTCTCCAATTCCATCCATTTACCAGCGAATGATAACATTTCGTTCTTCTTCATGGCTGCATAAAATTCCATTGTGTATAGATACCACATTTTCTTACCATTCGTCAGTGTGGGCATCTTGGCTGTTTCCATAACTTGGCTATTGTGAATAGTGCTGCAATAAACATGGGTGTGCAGGTGCCTCTGGAGTAACCTGTGTCACAGTCTTTTGGGTATATCCCCAAGAGTGGTATTGCTGGATCAAATGGTAGATCATGTCCAGCTTTTAAGTAGCCTCCAAATTTTTTTCCAGAGTGGTTGTACTAGTTTACATTCCCACCAACAGTGTAAGAGGGTTCCTTTTCCCCGCATCCTCGCCAACACCTGTTGTTTGGTGTTGCTAATGATGGCTATTCTAACAGGGGTGAGGTGGAATCTTAGTGTGGTTTTAATTTGCATTTCCTTTATTGCTAGAGATGGTGAGCATTTTTTCATGTGTTTTTTGGCCATTTGAATTTCTTCTTTTGAGAAAGTTCTGTTTAGTTCACTTGCCCATTTCTTTATTGGTTCATTAGTTTTGGGAGAATTTAGTTTTTTAAGTTCCCTATATATTCTGGTTATCAGTCCTTTGTCTGATGTTAGCTGGCAAATATTTTCTCCCACTCTGTGGGTGTTCTCTTCAGTTTAGAGACCATTTCTTTTGATGAACAGAAGCTTTTTAGTTTTATGAGGTCCCATTTATCTATGCTATCTCTTAGTTGCTGTGCTGCTGGGGTTTCTTGAGAAAGTTCTTACCTATACCTACTAACTCCAGAGTATTTCCTACTCTTTCCTGTATCAACTTTAGAGTTTGGGTCTGATATTAAGATCCTTGATCCATTTTGAGTTAATCTTGGTATAGGGTGATATACATGGATCTAGTTTCAGTTTTTTGCAGACTGCTAACCAGTTTTCCCAGCAGTTTTTGTTGAAGAGGCTGCTATTTTCTCCATCGTATATTTTAGCTCCTTTGTCAAAGACAAGTTGGTTATAGTTGTGTGGCTTCATATCTGGGTCCTCTTTCTGTTCCACTGGTCTTCATGTCTGTTTTTGTGCCAGTACCATGCTGTTTTTATGTTATTGCTTTGTAATATAGTTTGAAGTCAGGTATTGTGATACCTCCAGCATTTGTTCTTTTGACTGAGTATTGCCTTGGCTATTCGTGGCCTCTTGTGTTTCCATATAAATTTCATGGTAGATTTTTCAATCTCTTTAATGAATGTCATTGGAATTTTGATGGGAATTGCATTAAACATGTAGATTACTTTTGGGAGTTAGACATTTTTACTATGTTGATTCTACCAATCCATGAGCATGGGAGATCTCTCCACTTTCTATAGTCTTCCTCAATCTCTTTCTTCAGAAGTTATAGTTTTCCTTGTAGAGGTCTTTCACATCTTTTGTTAGGTTTACACCTAGGTATTTGATTTTTTTGAGGCTATTGTAAATGGAATTGTTTTCATACATTCTTTTTCAGTTTGCTCATTGTTAGTGTATAGAAATGCTAATGATTTTTCTATGTTGATTTTATATCCTGCTACCTTGCTTAGCTATTGATGATGTCTAGAAGCTTCTGAGTAGAGTTTTTGGGTCTTTAAGTATAGGATCATGTCGTCTGCAAATAGGGATATTTTGACAGTTTCTTTACCTATTTGTATTCCTTTTATTCCTTCTTCTTGCCTAATTGCTCTGGCTAGGAATTCCAGTACTATGTTGAATAGGAGTGGAGATAGTGGGCATCCTTGTCTGGTTCCTGATTTTAGAGGGAATGGTTTCAGTTTTTCTCCATTAAGTATAATGCTGGCTGTAGGTTTGTCATATATAGCTTTATAATGTTGAGGTACTTTCCTTCTATTCCTAGTTTTCTTAGAGCTTTTATCATGAAATGGTGTTGGATCTTATCAAAGGCTTTTTCTGCATCTATTGAGATGATCAAGTGGTTTTTGTCTTTGCTTCTGTTAATGTGGTTTATTA